TGATAGTCTCTCCTTTATAGGTTTCACTTTTGTAGTTCTATAAAGCAGTGAGTTTGAGGGATTGTGTAGTATGTTCTGAGGGTGACGCATTTTGGTAATACTCCTTAGTGTAGATGTTTAAGCTGTTTGGATATTATTTAATGCAGGATTACAAGAACTTGAATAAATTAGATTTGAAAGGGTTATATTTTTTTTTCCCAAAAAAATTGAATAAATTACATGTGCATATTCGAGAAGTGGACGACAGATCATTTTATAAATTTTAGTTTCAGTTTTAATGTTGATTCCACTTTTATGTTAGACTCCGAAAGTGTTTTCCTCTATTGATGCATCTCTTTTCAATCATTTTTGTATGGCTGTTCAAGTTGATTTTGGGGTCAATGTTAAGTCCCAAGTATTTTACTGATTGCCTGCTTCTTACCATTTCGTTGTTGATGTTTATTGTGGGTAACGTCTCGGAAGGGTTGTGATGAAAAATTATGAATTGTGATTTTTTCGGGTTTGGTCTCAATCTCCACTTATTGAACCAGAGCGTTATCCTGTCGACGTGATTTTGCAGTTCTTCTATTGTGAGTGCTAGCGTGCGGTTGTGTGAAACTAAGGCAGTGTCATCTGCATACTGTAAGATGTAAAGGTTTTCATTAAATTAATTCTTGTGTTCCAAGTTGTGATTGTATATATCCGTTAATCCGTTATCTCCATGAGAATTGGAGATAACGGAAAGCCTTGTGGAACTCCTTGTTGGGGAGCAAATTTTTTGGAGAATGAATTTCTGACTCTGGCAGTGAGGCTTCTGTTCTCAAAATATTGTTTTATTATACAGAGAAGAAGGATAGAGATATTCAATTTGTGAAGTTTATATAACATTCCTTCATACCAAACGCTATCAAAAGCTTTATTGATATCCAAAAATAGTGCCGCAGAGTGTAGGTTGGTCATGAGAACTGTTTGTATGTTAGATGTTACAATTATAGGGTGGGTTGTATTTCTATTTTTTCTCAAACCAAATTGATACATTGGTATATTGATCTGTTCACTGAGTTTATATTTGATGATTTTCTCAAAGTTTTTTCCTAACACTGGCAGAAGAGTAATGGGTCTGTAGTTGCAGGTCTGTGAATGGTCTGTATCTGGTTTTGGAATGGCAATTATTAATCCTTCTTTCCAGGCTGTAGGATAGTAATAACTGTTCAAACAATATTCATAGATGGAGATGTTTGTGTATGTCTGATTCTAGAGCACGTACTATTCTCCTAGATATATTGTCTATCCCTGGGGACGTACTTATTCCCTCACTGATGATGTTATAATATAAATCTTCAACTATTTCTTGATCATTTTGGATTGAGATGTTTTTGAAAAAGTTTCTGTACCAATGATTGACAGACTAATATTGATTTTGGTCAAAATGAACGTAATTTTCTTTTTGGAAAGCATTCTCAAAATAAGTTGAGAATGTATCTGCCTTATCTTCATCTGCTGATATTATACGACCATTAACTTGCAGATTATTGATGTTATTTATTGACTTGTATTTAGATAGTTTTTGGATTTGTTGCCAGTAGTTTTTACCCTTTTCCTCATTTATTTTTTCACATGTTTCTAACCATTTATTTTCTTTCTATTGCATAATAAGTTTTTGGATATTTTTGTTATAGTCATTAATGTTCTTCTTCAGTTGAGGGTCCGTGTGATTTTGAATTCTCTTTACATTTTTCTCTTGCTTTTTATTAGCCTTATGATAAATGGTGGAAGTTCGTGCACATAAAACTTTGTCTTCGATTTTGGATAGTTGCTTCTCACAGATTCAACAAGTTTTTTGTTGAATGTTTCAATATATCCTTCATTAACAATTCGATGAAGTTATAGTTTATCTTATAATCCTCTTTCTCAATGATCGTATTCATGTTCAAGTTCACTTCAATTGCCAAATGGTCAGAACCTAGGTCTGCATGTGTCTCAATTTTTACTATGTTATTTTCCAGGTTACTTGTATACAGTACCAAGTCTGGAGTGCTGTCAGGATTATTGTCCATCAGGAAGGTAGGAGCTGTTTTTGCTTTTTTGAAAGAGGAGTTCTGTAGGAAAGTGTTGAGTTGTCTGTTGCAGATGTGGTGTCCTCAATATTAGGTGAAGAGTGTTGTATATAGATAGAATTTAAGTATTTTAAGTATTACGTTTAAGTATTACATTGTTATCAACACAGCCCAAAAACATTCGACAACAGGAACAGGTTTTCATATGACCGTAAACAAATCTCTCTAGCAAAAATTAACTCACCCAAGTTTCCGTAGTGTTTAGCGGTCTGCACATTCTTCTCCCCGAACGACTTGAAAGACAGCTCCAACGCTGCTTTGTGCAACTGTTCAGCCTCCTGCAAATAGCTGTTGTGGATTTCCACGTCGTTCTGTTCGTCTAAAGCTATTTCTTCTAAGATCAGCGCTTTCACCCGTTTCACTGAAGCTAGCAGAAGATGATCCTTAGGAAGTATCCTTTCCATTATCCTGATGGAACGTTCTGCATTTTCCCTAAATAAATATCAATGATTTTTTTCTAATTGTCCTTAACTGATTTTCAAATGAAAATACATTTCATTGGCGAGTTCAAAATAAAAATAATAGATGTTTCACCAGCAGCAGAATGTGTGTCGGATATAATTCAATATCCAAAGTGGTATTAGCCAGATAAGTAGTTGTTTTCCGGCAAGCATGTACCAGGTAGTTGAGAGAGATGACTCTTTCAGGTAGATCTGTTCAATACTTCAATTTTTTAAATATATGACCAAGAAAGTACTGAAGAGAAAGTTACATATTTGGTAAATTGTTTGAATAAGTTATTTGATAAACCTATGCCAATAACTACTTCCAGAGTAACAAAACCAAAAGCTCCTTGGCTGACGAATGTGATAAAAATAAAGTGGTTATAATAACTGACTCTCTCACAACATAAAAAAAGAAAAAACAGTTTTGATATCACTTCAAGATTTCCATTGCAACTTTTTTTATATGATTCACCGAGCAAGTATTAATATGGCAAAAACTGCATATTGAGTTGTAGTTTTCACACATATATTTAAAAAGATTATTGAAGCACATCTTCTCCTTAAAAAAAAAAAAAATATTTCGCCCATGGACATGTGGAAAACTCTCAAGTCTAAAAAATTCATACCTGAAAAGAAACATGATATACCGGAAATTTTGAAAAACCCTCAGGAATTGAATAGGTATTTTGTAGAATCAGTTCCACAAAATGAACCACCGCAAGATTTATTGAATTTTCATAAAAATAAAAAACGGATTGATACTGAATTCAATTTTGACGAAATTAACGATCTGTTTGTTTACAAAACTACCATGTACTTTTGCCAAGAATATTGTCGTTCAAAATGAATTCGATCTCTCAGAAATTTCACCGCTTGAAGTTTTGAAAACTTTAGATAATATGAGGAACAAAAATTCAGCTGGTATTGATGATATGTCTGTTGTTACTGTAAAGCAAATTATTGACATAATTATTGAACCATTAGTTTTTTTGCTTAACCAGTCCTTTTATGGGGGTTTTTTTCCCAGATGAACTGAAGAGGGCTCTTGTCTTTCCACTGCACAAAAAAGGTGGGATAACAGAAATTGACAATTATAGGCAGATTTCGTTGATTTCATCCTTTTCAAAACTCTTTGAGAAAATAATAGGTAATAGAATTTTGATGTATATTGAACAAAATGACCTATTCTGCAATAATCAACATGTTTTGGAAAGAGTAAATCAATTGAATCTGCATCTTATCAACTATTGAACTATATTTATGCACAAGTGGATAATAATAACCTGTTTTTTTCACTTTTTTTAGATCTATCAAAAGCATTCGATACTGTTTCTTCCAAATTTCTATTGAAAAAATTACTAGTAATGGGCTTTCCCAATAATGTGTTGTGTTGGATAGAATCGTACATGGAAAACCGTAGTTTGGTGGTTAAATGTAATGGAATTACATCAGTTCCTTTTGATGTGAAACTAGGTGTTCCACAATGGTCTGTTCTGGGTCCATTGTTATTCTTGACTTTTATCAATGACTTGCCTGAATTCATATCAGATTGTCACATAACTATGTACGCTGACGATACTAAAATCACTGTTTCTGGAAAAAATGAAAATGAATTATCGATGAAAATGAATTTAGTTATTGACGAATTCAGTAGTTGGTGTCAACGTAACAAACTGATTTTAAATAAATCTAAGTCAGTGCTGATGAAAACATTTGTTAGAAGGGATTTCTGTTGTAATTTAGTCACTTTGAATGACATAAAAATATCAAAAGAAGTTGATTTTTTTGGAACAATTTTAGATGAGAATCTCACCTGGAGAAGTCACATACAACAAGTGTGCAGTAACCTCAATTCCGCTTATTATTCGATCAAACAGTTGAAACATTGTTTAGATAGGTTTGGTTTACTAAATGTTTACTTTGCGAATGCATACCCCCACATTAGTTTCAACATAATGGCTTGGGGATGTGCAAAGGAATTTTCTAGAGTTTTCATCTCTCAAAAACGACTGATAAGATTGATATTCAACCTGGGGTACCAAGAAAGTTGTAGACCCGTTTTCAAAAGAGAACGCTTGTTGACTGCACCCGCAATTTATATAATGAAATGTGTCATTTTTGTGCACTGGAACCTTGACTTGTAATATAACGAACTTGAGCATTCACGGTCGTGATACTCGCCATGCTACTGCTCTGAGGGTCCCTTCACATAAGAGTGATCCATTCAAAAAATCTCCATTATATAATGGCATACATTTTTATAACAGACTGCCACTTTCTATAAAGAGGTTGAATTCTTCAACTTTGTTCAGTAAGAAAGTTAAAAACTTATTACTGGACAAATGTTACTACAGTCATAAGGAATATTTAGAGGATTCTTTCACAGAAGGATAATGAGATATATAATCATTCTAAATTTTCACTTGCTGTTTTGCTTTAGTTTCAGTGTTCTGACTGGCGATTTTATCGTTTTTTTTATGTGTACATGTTTGTAAATATATACATATGTATATTTATTTGACTACGGCAAGTAAAATTGCTATATTTTTTATTCATTTTTTAATTAGCATTTTATATATCTATATGTACCTATACCTTTGTATATGCAAATATTAATTTTTATTCAAGCTTTAATCCCATAATTTTATTCATAAGTGACGTACTGTTTTTTGTAAATAATCATTGACCTACCATATATACGCTATGTATCACAAATGGTGAATAAATATTATTATTATTATTATTCGTGAAATAAAAACAAACGCTAAAGGATGCGATGGCTTGAGTATTAAGCTGTGTTGCCCTCATATCATACCCTATATCACCCATATCATAAATCTCTGTTCAACTGAGAATGTCTGCCCAACTATCTGGAAAAGAACCATTGTGAAGGTTCTGCCTAAAACTCAAAATCAAATAGAATTTAAAGATTTGAGGGGTATCAGTATCCTGCCAGTATTGTCAAAAATCCTGAAGAGAGCCATGGAATTTCAAATTAAAAATCATATTTTGAACTTTCCTCTGTTGCTTTCTGTTCAATCGGGATTTCGGAAAGGGCAGAGCTGTTCAACCGCTCCTCTACATATTGAGGATTATATAATGAAAGCAATAGATGAAAACTAATGTACGGTGTTAGTCCTACTAGATTTCAGCCGGGCGTTTGATACTATTAATGCCGATATTTTGTCAAGCATTTTAGATTATAATGGTTTTTCTGCCAGTGCTCTTGCATTATTGACGTACTATTTGAAAAATAGACAGCAACTGGTTAGTATAGAGGAATACAACTCAGATATCTTATATCTCAAATCAGGGGTACTTCAAGGATCCATACTCGGCCCTTTATTGTTCTCCATATATACGTTCAACTTACTACAGGCTCTTCACACTTGTCAGGTGCATTTATATGCTGATGATACTCAAGTATACCACAGCTTTCCGACGAAAATGGCAGACAATGCTTGTGGCATTATCAATGCAGATATAAATAGATTTGTTGAATTGGCAATAGACCACTGTTCATTTATAAACCCTAGAAAATCGAATGTAATGATCTTTGGTCCAAGATTTCACCGTTTCATAGTGAATAACTCTGTGAATATCTGCATTCGAAATGAGCCACTAGATATTGTTCCTCAATTTCATAAATGACCTGTTTGAATTCTTTTCTGAGTGTCACATAACCATGTTTGCGGATGACACTGCAATTACTGTGGCTGACAAAAACGAAGTTGAGTTGTCAGACAAAATAAAGTTTGTGGACGTGAAACATATTTATTGTTTTTGTATTGTTTTTGTATTGTTCAACTTCTGTAGTTTTATTTTTGTTTTTTAATTATGACTTAGCACATGTACTCAATGTACCAAAGTGTCAAATAAATAAATAAATAAATAAATTGTTAGTGTTTTGTTAGTCTTGGTGTTTTGATGAATGTAGATCTGAGATTTGGAAAATTCATAAATAAACTCTTACAACGTGCCTATTCTGCACTGAAAATAATTTATGGTAACCGACATATTCTGCCTTATTAAGTGAAAAAGTCAGGGTAGGTTGAACTTGTGTATCTTTTGTACCTATAATTTTCCTGCCAAAAAAGGGTTCAGTTTTCCCTCTAAATAAATAAATGTAAAACGCTTACTTTGCTTTATAAAATCTGCCGGAGCTATACTCGTTGACGTAAAGAGCGTAAGCCAAATCCTCGTGTCCCAACGCAATATGAATATTATTTTTCTGGAACATATCCTTTCTTATTGCCAAGGCTCTCTCGTACATCTTCACGCTCTCTTGTATCGAGTCGTAATGCAAAAGATAAAAGCCGTAGTCCAGCAGTGTGTCAGAAAAATGAGGATGATTGTCGATTTCAAACAGATTCGAAGCCAGAATCACAGCTTGTCCGATTAGCAAGCCTGCTGGATTGAATTTCCTTTTCACTACGCAAGATTTGGAAGCCTGCCTCAGCACTTCAATGATTATCCTAAAAATTATTTTTATTATACCGTGAAATGTTTCGATATGAAAAACTTCTTACCTTGGCGATAAATCTTCGTTCAACAGTTTGAGGGCTCTCTGAGACCAAGTGAATGCCTAAAACGATCAATTTTTGTGGTGATTCTAAACAAATTTATAATTTCGTTAGCTGGAGAATTTTTTTAGTGAGCTGTACTTACCTCGTCATATTCGCTTCGTAAAAAATACAGGAACGAATAATTTGAATATAAACCGGCCAGGTTCGGAACATAATTGAACAATTCCAATTGTCTCACAACTTCTTGAGCCGATTTGAAAGTTTCTGCTGCTTGATCAAATTCACAGTAGACAGATTCAGCATAAATACGCCTAGAAAAGACAAAATATTTTTAGGAATGATAATCACAGTAGCATTATATCTAAGAGCATATCATACTAACCAAATTAAAGAAAATAGTGTAAGGAACAATTGATTGAATCGATATAGGAACTTGAAGACAAGTATTTGTAAGAGTTCAAATATCAAAAGTATTTGTATGGATTAATTAATTTTGGAGTACTGCAACGATCCATTCTTGGCCCACTTCTATTTTTTTTTAATGTACATCAACTCATTAACAAGTTTACCTCTGAAGGGATCGGGTAAATTATTTGCTGATGATACAATTATATACTCTCAAAAGGGTCATTGATATTTGCGAGCTGACAAATGATTTATACTGCCCCCAAATACGTAACTTTTGTCTGATTCAACCAACACCAAGAGTCTTACCATTACCGAGTTAACAATAATGTCTGTACAAATCTTGCTCACTGTCTAAAACATTCAATTCTTTTTCTGATACTAAATTTGAGAGTGGTATATTTTCAGTCGAGATCAATTTTTTGGAAAAGACAGGTTTTGGCTTTCTACTTCTCCAACTTTATACAAACAATGGGGGAATCTTCCAAAGAAAGAATGAAAGCAATTGTTAACTCCTATATTCTGGAATGAATTACAAAAAGACAAAAAAAAATCAATCAATCAAAGAAACAATAAAACAACCAAACAAACAAACAAACAAATATTTCTTCTTTATTACCACAACCAGTTCAACGACTTTATATGAAGTTAATAGCATCTTTTGTGCAGTTAATTGAACCACTTCAATTGGATGAATCACTGCCTAACCCTATTAAAATTCCTTCACATGCTAATTATTACATCAAAGATAAACAAACAAAACAAATATTTACTTGTGATAGCAGTCAAGCAACATCCTCAGGGTCGTGACGTCTCTGATCCTAGTTTTGCAGATTTCTTCAGTAATATTCAAGATTTCTATGGAACACCTGTATAACCCCCCTTCGTTAAAAAACCCTCCTATCCTCAGGCCAGTTTCTATAACAGATACATCTAGCAGGTCTGCATTTTTGCAGTAATATAAATAACTCTTGATGATTTCCTCGGGTATGTGCGTCCCGTGTTCGATCAGTGACTGAAAACACTTCAGGAATTTCGTTCGCTGATGCTTCACGGACAACACTCTATTGAAGACGTCCAGATCACTGAATTCCACTGCGAGGAGGCAGAGTCGCTTCTCCAGGAACATCTGAAAGAAAATCATCAGCAAAGAAATAACTATAAGAATCAACACTCTGCTTACCTTGTGATAAAAATCAAAGAGTACATTGTTAGGTAAATATCTGAACTCTTTCTTGCAAAACTGACAGGCCGTGATACAATCGGCCACAGCGACGTCGATGCAAATGTCGTAGAGCTTTTTGACCGTCCGCACCATCTCAACAGGATGGAATGGTTTTATCAAAAGGTTATTATTGTTAACAAATGTTTTCTGTTTTTGTCCACTGTATTTTTTGGGCAGTGACTAAATGTCAAAGTTTACAGCTGATTCACGAACACGGAACACCAACATATTGTTTTGTGCAGTGACTGTCAATAACATATGTGATCTGTGTCAATATTCACATAAAAATTAAATTTATTCAAAACGCACACAAACTGACACCGGTAATAATACAATACTAGATTAAATAAATTGATAGATGTAGCCGTTACTACGTGGTAGGAAATAATCAATAAAAATGGGAATTGAAACTTTTTATGTTTTTACCACTTTCATTTGTAACTAACGTTACTGTACATTTTTAATAATTCTAGATTCTTATAGATACCTACACAAAAGTAATTCAAAGAAATAGGTGAACTTCCATGCGTTTGCATACGTAATCTAAAATGATATTTCATGTCATTGAGATTACAATTCACATCTACCATATCTATTTATCACGTTGTGAAATACATAACACTGTACCGTCACATGAACAGCGATATCAACAGTGTCTAGCGTTATTTTGAAAAGCGGTCGTCGTAAATGAAATCGAGTAAGCCATATTAGTAGACAGATTTGCATGAAAATATTACACGATTGAGTCACTACACCAGTATGTAACAGAACGTTCAATAACAACAATAAATAATGTAATCGTAATCCCTTTATATAGACTATCCATATAATTGAGCTTTTTATACAGCTTCATAGAGAAACTACTAGATGTCGCATTCATTGTTGTGTAAATGACATGACACTTTTGTCAAATTTGTTGTTATTTGTAGTTTTTGATAAACTTAATATTTTTCATTTTTAATTTGTAGCACCGTGGATAAACACAATGCCTGAACTGTCTCAGATTCGAAGTTTTAATCTTAAGGTAAATCATCGTCATATCACATTTACAAATCTCAAAGAATTTATTTCAGATAATATTTCTTATACACTTCATTTTTATATCCTTGAGTTCACTAGGAACATGGAGCTCTACGGGCTATCTCTTTTACAATAGTATCCTCACAATACTTTTAATTTGGGCTATTTACCACGAACAAAGTCACGAACCTGTCCAATTGGTAATTATGATGTAATAAACTGTTTGAAAAGCACTGTAATATAAATCTTTCAGGCTATCGTGGTTAACGCATGTTCCATAGTTTTAGACATTCTGCTTCTCGTGATGGCATTTCCCAGCAATCCCAATTATTGTAAGTACTTGGTATTTCTTTCTACTTGCAGAGAGCCTTAAGTATTTTTGTTTTAGCTGCAAGGGAAAAATTTTCTGCTGCCATGGCCATTCTGCATTTGATCATACGCCCCTTCAGCTCAATAGTTCTTATCAGGAATCTGGAAGAGCGAAGCGGCTCTACAGGTAACTTCTTTCAATAATCCTAACGGAATTTCAACACCGGTAGTTGTGATGGTCTGTCAGAGCATATTATGGTATATATCTTCTTCACCGTTTATAATTTATTTTAGATTTAATGGCTATGACTCATTTATTACAATCCTTTATCTGGAGTACCCAAGGGATTGAATCTAGGAGCCATGTTATTCTTGTTATTTATTGTTAACCTTAGTAATTATGTCGATTGAAATAAGTTATTTTTTGCAGATGATTTAATAATATATTCATTGCATCGACAGTTATAAAATATACAGAAGTGGTGTGAAGTCAACAAACTATCTCTTAATGCACCAAATCAAATGTAAAGTAGTGGCTTATAGTAGGAAAATGTCAGTTATTGAGTAAAATTATAAATTAGATACCATTCCACTGTCACTTAGTATCTCAATGAAAGATATTGGTGTATATTTTGGCCAAAATTTTATTTTTCCAACCATATTTGAATAAAAATAAGTGAAGCTTTGAGAAGCTCATAGATTTATAGTTGGCGATTGTAGATCATTTTCAAATAAATATGCTCTAATCACTCCTTATGTAGCTTACGTAAGGTGGAAATTAGAATATGGCTCTGTTGTATGGTCTCCACTATATGTTTGCTATACCACATTGATTGAAAAAGTTCAAATTTTTTACTACAAAACTTTAAAATAAAGGTATGCAGAAAACTTGTTTCGTCTCTTATGAATCTCTGTATGCCTCATTTTAGAACTAGAATTACAATAGTGTTTATTATGAGGGTATATAATATCTCGTTTTATTATTTTTATGGGAAAGAAAGTTTTTGGCTTTCTACTACTTCATCTTCGATACAAAAAAAAAGATGTGGGAATCTTCCAAAGAAAGGAAGTAATCAATTTGAAAATAGTAACTCTATACATGTAACTTTCAGACATAAACTGGAAGAAAGTACTCCCGAAACAGCTACTTTCATATTAACATTGAATTACACGAAAGAAAAAAAAATCTTTCGAAACAAATACTTTTATATGAACACATACAGAAGATACTTTTCTCTACTCAGTTTGTATTCCAAACATTCGTTATGGAATGAAATCAGATATCAATCACAAGAGTTCTACTTCAAATGAATGGTAAATTGCACTTACATGGAACACTGTCATCCTCACTGGTATACATCGATGTTTCGCCGTAAGACACTTGCCTAAAAGCTCTTCAGTACCAAATTGGATAACATTATAGAAAATACACACAATTCATTCTTGAATTACGATTTTTAATGTCACAGAATAAGTTTAATCTACTTATGTCATCGATGACATTCATTCACCTATTTCTTTATGTTCTTCATTTCTCAAATTGTAACTTTTTGGTATAAGTACCTCATTTATTTTGTTCAACATACCTAGTTGACCCTGTATATGGTTTTTAACTGTTGGGTTATGTTATTTACATTTAGCTACTCTTTCAATGTTCCATAAAATCATAAAGTACTAACATGGTTTGACAGATCAAGTTCGACTGCTGGCAAGTTAATGAAGTTTAGGTCAACTCGTTTTAACATTTGCTATTGTTTTTTTAAAGGAGTTTTAACTGGTATTTTGGGAGGAGGAGGAGGAGGACACGATGAAAACTACGAGGACATTGACAGAGGGACTGTACCCCACTCCAACCAAGGATACGACTTTACCAATGCTCAGGCAATTTAATTCGGCACAGATTGCCTACCCAGTCACTTTTCAATGGTAATAATAAGTTTAAAGTGAACTGAAAACATGCTGTACAAAGTTTTCTGTATTGCCATATTGTCTTTGATGTAGGTGTAATGTTTCTGAAGTAATACTAATTTATTAAGATCAATATCGAATATTAAAAATTACTCTTTTACAAATAATAACGTGGCATCTTCAGTACCATTGAGTCTCTTAGAAAATTGTAATATAGGTACCCCGGCCGACAATGAAATTATTGTACACGGTGTCATTCAGTTGTGTCTAGGGTCAGAAATTAGAAATTCGGAACAAGGGTATAGTTCATAGGAGGTGATATCTCTAATGAAAAAACAATTCCACCGATTAAGACATTTTCATTTCAACAATATACCCTAAGCGACCATTTGCTTTCAAAATGGAGGCTAGGGGGCCATTTTCCTCAAATTCAATATGGCGCACTATGACGTCATCTAAGGAAATATTCTTAAACAACATTAAGACGTCCAGGAGATTCATAGTTATCTCTTAATAGGTTTACATGGGAACATTAAAAGAATTAAAGAGAAACCTAAACCGATCTTAAGGGAGATTGACGAAAAATTGAGCGACAGCGAAAAAACACAAGAGTCACAGCTGAGATATTTGAGGATGTATAACTCTAAAATTGTAGATAATTGCGCTGGTCGATTAAAATCCACGATGAAGTGCACACACTGTGGAAACTCGTCAGTAACCTTTGATGCTACTTGGGATTTGTCTTTTCTCATTCCACAAAGAACTGGCCAATTGAGTTTGTCACAACGCTTGGATTTCTTCACAAGAAAGGCAACTTTGGATGGAGATAAATAACCAACGTGTTTGAGGTGCAAGGAAAGAAGAAAATGCACAAAGTCCCTGTCAATCCATGCTTTCCTGTACTTAAATTATTTATTTAAAAAAAATCCAACGTAAAGATTTTAACGCAAATCGAATGCTACCATTGAATTTCCTCTAGAAGGATTAGATATGAGGAATTATGCAGCAGACAATGTGGCTCCTTGTCGCTATAATCTATATTCACTTTCAAATAACAGTGGGACTACATACAGCAGACACTACACTGGAACTTGTACTGAATACAACGATTTGCACACGTTACAAATATCACCAAAATTGCCTGTGAGTGGAGAGGCATATGTCCTCTTTTCGAAGGCTTTCAAGCCGGAAATATAGTGACACTGAAAACCTCGGCCCTGAAAGCGTTAACCATTTTGTCAACCAAGGAACACTTTTCTTCATTTCAGATTAAAGACACTCGTGAAGAAGTTATTGTATAGCGAAACACTTGTTGCGTTTTTGTAAAACTGTTTAGCTAAAATCTCACAATAAAGTGTTCTTGATTATGTTATGGATTTTCATCAAGTATCAACTGATTTCATCAAATATATAAAAATTCAAGAACTGAAACTTTCCACCATTTCACGTACTCCCAATAAATTTTTTTAATTGTCATTTTTGACATTTGTAAATAATGATGAGATTGGAACCTTTGGTGTGAAAATTTTCTTCTCCTGATGACGTCGAGTGCAAAAATATCAGTTTGGTGAATTGAAGGGGTTATATTTTTTAGGAGTCATTACTTTTCATCCTTTTTTTTTGTTTTTTGGTATCAAGATGGAGTAGTAGAAAGCCAAAAACTTTCTTTCCCAATCAGTTTGGTGTTAGGGCAATTGATCTCGAAAAAAGTTATTCATTTGTAAAGAATATTATCTCAATATGAAGTGTTATTTTTTAATATCATATACCTCTTGCACCACAAAAAAATATGCGGTTCATTTTTCTGTGCCAGTGAAAAAATGAATGTTTCTGGCGAATTGTGTCTACTGTTTCTAACTACATTTACTTAAATTATGGTGCCGCCATATTGAGTTTAGACTCCTACACCGTCATTGAAACAATTAGTCACTTCTGTTATATTGTTGAAAAAAGAGTTCTGTGTCCTGTCGAATGTTCTAAAAAGTATACAGGGTTCAAAACCGAAATAGCTTCAATTGTTTTTTCATCAGAAATACCGGCTTTATTTCGAATTTGTTACTTTGAAACAACTGAATGGCACTATGTACAATAATGTCGTCAGCGGATATATTTGATTTGATGACTCACCTTTTATGTAAATAATTTAATCTTGCTTTCTGTGTTACTCATATCTATATAAGAATGTAAACTATATTATTACTACTGATATCTAATATTTAGTGAATAATATCCAGTGAGAGGTTTTGTGTTCCTGTTTTGAATAAATTGTGATATATAATGGTGTTTTTTCCCTGTTTCCTAATAGTAAAAGGTAATAAATGCTCATTATGAATAAAAAACGTCAACAGAGTGCTCAAACAAAATTTTGTGATTTCATCATGATTTGCCACAGCTTGTATAGGCGAGTTTATAATACTTTACCGGGTCCACCCTATTTCGGTATCACAAAAAAGATTATACCTGCAGTGGCGTGCGTTTGGGTATTTAATCAAAAATATTGTTGTTTCAAAAGTTTTGTCCATTTTTATGAGTTTACTTTCAACTATAATATACTGTGAATACTTATTCAATTCAATCGAAATAAGCCCCATTTGAATCAGTGCTCTTTGCCAACATAACACAAGTCTGTTAATTCTGTCAGCATGGGAGCTGACGCCCAGTTCTTTTGCCATTTCACGCACCGTTTGTGATGGATCAGTCTCCATTAGGGTTCTCAAATCCTCCTCCTGGATTACTGTAGGTCCACCACTTAGGGAAACATCTTCCAAGCTAAAATTTCCAGAATGAAATTTCACAAATCAACTTTGAACTATCTTTGCCAAATGCCTGTTTCGGCAGCGCTGTTGAATTTCAATTCTTACAGAAAAAATGTTCAAAAATCACTTTAACATCATATTTAATACAATATAATTTGCATACAGTATCGATGAAACAAACTTAGATAGAACCACCACTGAATTCTAGGTGTCCATTTTGATTATCAACTTACTTTTAATAATCACATTGATTTTGTTGTTAACTCTGCCTATTGCTCCCACGGTTTTATTGTCAGAAATTGAAGGAATTTCAATATGTTATCTGTTACTTCTCTATATTTCAGCTCATTAAGCTCAAAGTTAGAATATGGGTCCTTGATATGCAATCCCATTTTTGATCATCATACAGCTAAATGGAATACATTCATTATTTCGGTTACAGTAAATATTTTAACAAAATCCTGAAAAAAGCAAATTTAAATTATAATTTGACATATTTCGATGGACAGGTACAACCCCCAATGTTTTAAATGGGAAGTATAGGCTTGTGATAAATTGTTTGAAATATTTCTTTATTCTCTATTCAAAAATGTTATCGCTTTCAAGTTTACTGCAACAATTAAGATAAAAATGAATTAAAATCAAGTGGTTACCGAAATTCGATTATACATACTTATTGCAATACTATACAAAACTTATTGCAATAAGCATGTTGATGTATTGATAATTAGAAATTAAACAAAAACCATAGCAATGTCCTTCAAAAAACTAAATAATTTCCACGGCAACGTTAGTTCAAAACACCTTGTCAACTTGTTTTGTATGTTACTGCAACTGTTGTTAGTGTTTTAATTCAAGTTTAAAGTTCGTTAACTTCAAGTCTGACAAATGGTTAGATTAACGGAAATGCCTAAAATAACAGTTTTATAAATGATTGGTTAAGGAGATGAAACTCGAACACAACAGGAAGTAGCTCGCCTATTTCATGAGAAATTTCCTAATTTACCATCCATATATCAAGGAACAATGAGCAAAATAGAGAAGCAGTATCGCGAGCTTGGTCATGTGGGGCAGATATCGGTGTATAGGGAGACGAGGACCGATTGAATAGCCAGCGCGATCACCTGATCCTTCATCATTAGATTTCTTTTTATGAGGATATGTAAAGAGCAATGTGTACAAAACTAAACCTTCAGATTGCGATTAGGTCGGTCAGGCCTGATATGTTAAACAATGTAAGAAGACAGTTTTATTTGAGATTAGGATATTGCCAAGGTTCGCAGTGAACATTTTGAACATCTACTTTGTTAACATCTCCACAGTTCTTTTTCGTATTCTACATTTCATTACGTTTCGCATTACATTTCAGTTTTTGAGTGTATTTTATCGAATTTCCTACTTCCTAATTATACCACGCCGACCATGCTATACAAAGAAACTGCCGACGTTCGGTAACTATTTGATTTTGATGCCATTCGAATTGACTTCGTACGTACTATAGTTAATGTACATAACATCAATATTTGACCTGAGTTTTTCAGCCGAGCTTAGTAAAGCTTAGTGCGTGATATACCGAGAATACGGGGCAGTGATGCTTTCTGATAGGTTTGGATTAGGCATGAAACTGAAATGAAACTACTTTGTAGCAAAAAATCTTAAAACTACAAAAAATCTTAAAACTAGTGAAAACTGTGATACCAGCATGAAACAGTAAGATTAAACAACCAATACTAGAGTTGTCAGACCTATTCTTTTTAGGAATGGTAATATTTTGACAATAAATAATGTGTTAAAATGAATTTTTCCGTTACCCAGCTGTCATCTCCCTTATGAAAAACAACCTCAAGTAGAATTGCAAGGTATTATTAACATCTCATTATTATTGTCAAAACATTAGTTTCACTAAAATGACGAAGGTCCGGATATCTTGGAATAAAATTGTGAAATATCAAATAAATATCTATTGTCGAATGGAAACTGAAGGACCAAAAGTTTCGTCCACCACGACCTACTATCCCGGTTTTTATTCTCTTTAATCGTGACTCCCGCCGTGAAAGCCCATGTTTTTATAACAAACTATCTATTCCTACAAAAAATACAGGATACATACAAATTTACAAGAAAATTTGTCAAGTTGAATTGTGATTGGTCTGGAATGTTTCGGAAATTTAATTTTTATACTTTGAAAAATACAACATAAAAATCTGATGTAGAAGGAAGTTCAGAAAGTTATAACAGATGTTGGGTTTACTTCTTTGTACAACCTAGACCGTGCACATTAAAAAAAAATATATACCAGGGTATCAAAAAGTGACTACACAGACTGATCTAAATTTGGTATACACCATTATTAATTTGGTCACTATTGGTAATAAAAATAGTTCAATTTTACACTCATCAAAAAGCAACAGGTAGCAGAGGATAGCGTTGACGCAGGCAATTAAAAAAGCACAACAAAGATGGCAAAACTCCAAAACTGGACCGTACAAACGGACTCCGTTATAAGGGAACTAGGTAAGAAGGTATTAGAGACTGTCTTCCGCCGGATGAATTGAAAATCCCTAGCGATAACTAGGGGAATCGTAGCATAGGCAGTGAACGTGTTAATGAGTATAAAAGTGCTGCTAGTTTAAGATTCGTATCTCCACTTGCGTCCGACTCATTATCGAAAGCTGGCGTGTTCAATCCCCACTTTCTGCAACGTTACATGGCTGACGAACTGTGAATAGCCATGATGCTCCTCAGGTGGATTGGGAAGCTAATAAATTGCCTATCCCAGAACTTGGGTGTACACAAACAACTTACACTTCAATCAACAAACAAGATTCATTACTAGCTCTTCCATAAACATACCAACATTTGATGAAAGTCATACACAGAGATGTATTTTCTATCACGGTCCAAAATTATTCAATCTTCTGCCTGTTAACATGAGAAGCAATTCCAATCTCAATACATTCAAAAAATCAATCAAAACATTCATTATGTTCAATACCGAACTTCTCGATTTATTCGTAAATTCTGTAAATTAATTAATCGAAATGTGTGTATATAGATATAGATATAAGACAGTTAATGACATATAATTGAATACCCTGAGTGGTAGATGGAAAGCACAACACAAGTACTTTAGTTACTTAGGTGCATCCATCCTCACACTGAGGGTAATAAAACTGTATATATAAACTGTAAAAATGATGACCTATAAATAAATCTTGAATTTTAATGGCCAAAGTAATCAATGCCGATGACACAAAAAAATTAGCGCCCTCTTAACTTAGTTCAGCCTGTATATTCCGGAGAATCTAATTCATCATACAAAGAAGAAATGTAAATTTTTGTCAGTAATTTTTGTACGCTTGTGCCAATTCTGATGTTTTTTATATGGAAATTTAAGCGGTCATTGGTCCTCCGAAAAAAAAGAAGACTACCTGAGACAATAAAATAAATGATCTTATATACAACTTATGAATTCCTAAATCGAACACGTTTCAGCTAAAATTTCATACAAGGTGAGACCAAATATCAGACCAATGAAAAAGGTATGCATTCTTTTCCATATGGCCTTTCCAAAAAAGTATTTTATATCTTTCACCTTAACATGAGATCTTAAAGCAACTTTACCAAAAAAACAACACAAAGTCCAACACCGTCTCAACCTTTATTCATCAACAGAAACATCCTAACCTAACTTAAAACTACTTCACAGTTCCGAGAGTCGGTTCGACATAGACTCCAACAGTCCCAATGCGAAATTTTCCGTATCAACAAAAAAAAACCGAACACATTGCGCTATTAGCATTGGAAGTAGTGTTGAGCGAATTCAGTCTAAACGTCAAAAGAACTGATCCTAATCCCAAAGCTATTTCTATGACTAGAGTCTATGAATATAACGTATACACATATCGTTTTTATTGGTTGATCCTATCAGGTCGGTTAAAAACAACCAGATCGAGAATATAAGTGGTTGTTTTTGAAATATTCGCCGAAAACTAGAATTGTCGTATTTCGTTTTTTTGGCTCTACCGTCTCCATTTCGAATGATATAAAAAAAAGCCAGAGGAACTTTCAATGCTGTTTTATATTAAGTATAAAATCCTGACAGTAGCAGCATTATCCATATTGGAAACTATATGCCTGATGAGAAAACATATTAACGGCTTCGCCGCCACCCAATCCAATTATAGTACTCGACAGACAGAAAACATTAGGTAACCTATTCCAACCTCAAACTTTGTCGAAGACTCTCTTACATACTGTTGAAAATCATGCCCGAACGAAAATAACGCCGGCCGCCACTGGTAACCATAAACAAAACGTGACGTAGTTAAGAGCCCGCCACTCGAGAAGCAGCGAGAATAATGCTACCGACTTCGACAGAACTTCGGCGAAATTTCTACAACATTCGATTACGATATTTAAAGGCTAGCCACGAGGATATCGAGACAGTCAAGTGGACGTTACACTGCGGTACGTGAAGTGATCTAATAAGGCGATAGACATGTTTGTTGTATTTAAAGCG